GTGCCTGTGCAGAATGTCACACAGAAGATAAAATCCAGGGATCCATCAGAAGCAGAAGAGGGTCAGGGAAAGGACGGAAAGGCTGGTGGTCCCGATGCTCCATCAGACATGGGAACGCAGGGAATGTCTTCACTTGGACCTGGATTAACCTCGCTAATGTTTCACATTGTTGTAGAGCTTTTTGAGTTAGCATTCTTATGAGGACAAGTGTACTCAGGAGTTCATTTTATTTCACAATCGTATTGTATTTAGGTCTCTATTTATACTATGTGAATATTAAAATTGACACGGTGAAGGTTACGATTCACAAGCCACATTTTTAATCAAAGCCTAGAAGCAATTGGGTTTCTTGTAAAAACAGAGATTTCTAAAGCATACTGAAAATAAAGTAACATTTTAGAAAAATGAAATACAATATGTGCTGATTATAAATGTAGCCCTCAGGGTTTTTTTTTTTTTTCTTGTTTTGTTTTGATTTTTTTTTTTTTTTTTTGAAACAAGGTCTCACTGTGTAATTCAGGCTGGCCTTGAACTCACCATGTAGCCAAGCTGGCCTTGAATTTTGTGACAATTGTCCTGAATGCTGATCACAGGCATGCACCACCATGCCCAGCTGTACCTCAGGTCTTTAAAATAGGGGCACCTTAACCTCTTAGGAGATAAGATAGACAGACCCTTTCTGGCTGTGGAATCATTTGGTGATACTTGTGAACACTAACAAAGTTTCTAAAGTGTATTCCTATAACCTGAGTGTCTTACAGAAACATTTCTTAGAGCTGAAACAAAAATAATTATAGGAAGTTGTAATTTTATTTAGGTTACTGGAATACTGAGTTACACTTCAAAGATAGCTCTGAACTTAAAACATGTAAGCGAATTTCAGATGTAGTGATTTTAACCACAATAGATCAGTGCACACACATCAGAACATGATGTGGGATTTCTGGAAAGTATTCTTTTTATTCCTAAGAAACAAAGAAAAACAAATCATATTCAAAAGGCCACCTGAGCCAAGGGAAACATGGACCTGAGCTGCTGTGCTGGTCTGAAGTAATTTAAAATCCATCATTTCTGTATTGCTGTGGTTGATGGCAGCCCACCAATATGAAAAGCATGGAAAAAATTATTATTATTTCCTCCTCCAAACTAGAAAGAGAAAAGAAAACATTTAAGGAAGGAGAACTCGGGTATTTGAAAATCCGGAACACTTCACAGATCTCATGGCATTTCAGCTGCTCAAAATTCCCTCTGTGCACACTTCTTGTGTGTCTGCCACGCTGAGCGCTGTCCCCAGTTGAGACAAATTCTATGACCCTTAGGAACGCTCAGAAATGCTCCCATGAGGTGAAACATTTTCACACACGCGTATTTGGTTAATGATTTTAGGAAGTCGTTGGGACACACAATTATTCCTTGTAGCATGAGCTCTTACCCTGTTCTTAGATTTTGAGGAAAATATAAATTAGGCATTTTTTTTTTGCTGGAAAAAACCGCAAGTGATGGCTCAGAGCAATAACATTTCAGTCTTTAATACACGCCAGGAAGGTAGGAAGTACAGCGTTTCTTTGACTTGTTGAGAGGGGCCTTGCTAACCCTGCAGACTGGCCTTGAACTGCAGATGCTCCTGACCTCGGGCTCCGGAGTGCTGGGGACACAGGTGTGTGCCGCCACGCCCAGCTAGCCACAGCTCAGTTTTAAAAGTTAAGAATATGACTCTTGCATAAAGATAAAATCAACAGATGTGATGTAAAGTTGGTTCCAAGAGTAACCGAAGAGCTGGGAATTCACAGCATTTACAAAAGCACTAGTATCAATTTCTAGGTTAGAGATGTACCTGGCTAGTAGCCTACGAGGTAAGAAGACCGTAACTTCTGAGGTGATCCTGTCTACCAGACCGAAATTTATAAGGTAATGTGTAACTTCACAATGTCTGGATTCTAATCGAACAGTCAATAGCAAACTCAAACACTGATATGTTCTGGAGGTTGAAGCTGTGAGCGGGTCATTAAACACAGCCCCAGTATGACACTGTCAGGACACGCCGCCCTACACACATCCTTTGTGCATTTTAGATGTGTTTCTTAGTAACCGTGGAGTGGTTATGGTCACAGACATACTGGTAGGATTCCTGGCTCTGGGTCTCCTGGCCAGGTACACTAGCTATGTTAGAATCTTCAAAATCACGCATGCCTTAGGAGGCGTCACAGAGACTAAGAGCTACGTCTTGAAAGATGAAATTGTCTTTTAAACGTGAGAAGTCACCAGAGAAATTTTATCAGAGTCCTTTCAGCCCTTCTCCCTAAGAGCTGTTATCTCAGAGTTTTTAAATTACTCTTCCTAAGCTTGGCTACAAAGTCCTTCTCTTAGATGCAAATAAGTACAAGTAACATTCCCACAATTCAAAAGAGGAAGGGAGAAAATCCACAGAAGGAAGATAAGACATTTAAAGGAACTCATCAGAGCTGGGGATTTAGCTCAGTGGCGTAGGTAAGTACCTGCCCAGCAAGCACAGGATCGTGAGTTTGATCTCCGGTACAAAAACAAAACAAAACAAACAAAGGAACTCATCAGTAGACTTAGGCTCCCAATGCAGGACAGATCACATCTCTACAGCAATAACTCATGCTGAGAATAATGGCCTTGAAAATACACAATAGAGGGGCTGGGGATTTAGCTCAGTGGCATAAGTGCCTGCCTTGCAAGCAGGCAGTCGTGAGTTCGATCCCCGATACCGATAAAAAAAAAAAAAAAAAAAAGAAAAGAAAATACACAATAGGCAACATACTTGAATATGACTTCCTCAGAATGATTAAAACAAACTTGGTAATTAAAGGAATAACATGCAGTTCAGTTTGTCAGAGGCTCTTCATTGTTCTTGGAAATTAAAATAATTTTAATTATAGAATTATATATACAATCAATAGAGACGTACAGCTTTTAAATACTAGTTTTGCTTTATAGATAACTGTCGGTCTAAAGTGAGAAGCCAGTGTAGAGAGAGGTGTGGTAAAATTTTGGGCCATTTAGCCTGGAGATGTGGCTCAGGGAGAGACCGCTCATCTAGTATGTTTTGATCCCCCACATCACAACAACGACAAAAATAAATGGTGCCAATTAAATGTTAGGACACGTGGTCCCTTGAAGGAGAAAAAGCACACCCTGAATCATACCCACATCTCAAATCTCTCATGTTGGCAAAACTACATTAAATTTGTTTTTCTCTATCAAAGATGGCCCTCATCTAAGTTCTGGTCAGAAACAAAACCCCATCTACTAGCACTGCCATAAAATGACAGGGCTATCTGTCAGTATTTAGTGAAGCTTGTTCCTTTCATTAAAAATACAGGTTAGGACATAACTTGAAACCAAACTACTAAACAATAATGTTTTCATTCACATTCACTGGAAAATTCTGGTACAAGGCAATGAAGTCTTCTTCAGTTAAGGTCATCTACGTCACCCAAGACCAAACCACCCAGGCAGGTTGGGTGGGATGGTGCACACCTGTAATCCCAGCATTTGGGAGGCTGAGGCAGGAAGATCGCAAGTTTGAGACTAGTCTGGGCTACATAGCGAGACCCTGTCTCAAAAAAACCAACTAGCTAACCAAACCACCAAACAATAACAATAACAACAACAACAACAAGGCAAAAAGGACAATGGTGATAAAAGAAAATAATACTTAAAATTCTTGAAGTTATGAAATAAAATACGTAAGTAGATATGCTGCTGAAGCAAACACAAAATAAAAATATAAGTAACTCTCTCACTGAAGTAGAAAATATAAACCATTTCAGTCTGTATTACATTTTTTATCATTTAATTTTTTATATGAAAAAGAAAATCAGGAATAGCAGTAGTTAAAACTTCTATCAGGCTAAATCATTTGTCTAAAGGCTACAGGTCTGATGATATATTGTACCAAAATCTAAATTGATAAATGTTTAATGACATTTAAGGCCGGGGATTTAGCTAATGAGTTTCAGCCCAGCCTGGGCTCCACAGTGAATTCAAAGCCAACCTGGACTATGTACTGAGACCCTGTTTCAGAAAGAAACGTACTAATAATATAATACAAGCATAGAAATTTCTATCCTCTATATAACTAAAATAATAAATAGTTGAAATAATGTAAACCAACAAATTTAGTCATTCTCAGGAATACCTGTCTTGATAAAAATAAAACTGAGTGTCATTTGGTGGATGTTAGGAGTTGCTGTTTTGAGGTGGTTCATGGATAATACAAACAAACAAAAACTTTTAGATTAATATATTCTTAATATGCATATATCTTAAATTTTTGGTCTTAAATTAAGAACATTTTTGTGACTTGGGGAATTTACTATATTTAAAATAAATACACATTGAATTCATGTATGACACATCTCATTTTAATCATTTATAAAGGTGAATAAATGTAGACTACATTTAATGGGCTTTCAAAAACTTACAATGAGAATTAATATTTGTACTAAGTATTATAATTTCATTACGAGGAAGTCATTGATGCGTTCTTTTTAAACAGGACTATATATCCTTTTCCTTAATCAGTTAAACGCAATTCTTTTATTTAAATACTTTACCTAAAAATGTCTTCTTCTAAATACAACCGGGTCAGAGAATGAAGGAGGTTAAGGGCAGGAGAATCTGAGCAGTAAGCACATTAGACGGAGGCCCCAGCTTCACATCACAAGTCCACAACGCTAGGGCAGAACCCACTGAGGCCCTTCCTGATAATAAACAGGGCACCAACACCCGGACCAGGGTGACCGCCGGACCACGATCCCTGAGAGGAACAGTACCCCTGCAGAGTACCCCATTTCCCCCGAAAGCCAGCGTCCTCCTGAGACATTTTCTGCCTCAAAATACCTTCTTCTCCGTCCCTCCTGGCAACTCACTGCATCCTAGGCAGGAACCTGCGCACTGAAACGTGTTTAGGTTACACAAATCAAATCCGCCGGTGCAAAGACAGTGTAAACGCTGAAGATGACAGAACTGACCTGCTTCTTCTGGTATTTGTTTATCAGACTCAAAAACAAGGCGTAGCATCTGGAATAGCTGGCCAGCGCTGTACAGCAGTCATGGTAAGAGGTTAGTTTGCTGCAGAAATGCCAAGGAGGAAAAGAAAAATAAATTTTATTTTTCTATCAAATTCTTTAAGACATTTATAAAATTTTATTAGCACATTTACAGTACATACTAATAATCACATTCCCCATGGTGACCCGGTACCTGCGTGTAACACTTCTTAACTATTTTTATGTTTCCCCACCCCATCTCTTGATCTTTTTCTTATTCTACAAAATTCAGCTACACACAATTATCATTTTAATGTGGTTCTCCAAAGAACTGCCCAGGGAATAAGAAACGGTCAGGAAACACTCCTCACACCAGTCCGCAGGAGCTGTAAAGAGGCTTGGTGTCTGTCTAGATTCTGGGGGGAATAGAACAGGGAAAGGAAGGTGGTTATGGAAAAAATAGAAGCCTTCAGGCCAGAATACCTAGTTATGATAGGTATGAATTCACACAGTCCCATGTGATTCAGAAAATACAAGTTAAGAAATTTACACAGCAGCTGGTTGGAGTCCAGTGAATTCCTTTGTATTCCATAAAAAGCAAGTGTAAAACTGCTCTAGTATACTAGGCCAGCAGTGCTACCCTGACATCAAGGAAAATGGGCCTTAAAGCAAAAATCCTTGAAACTAGCTTTGACATTTCAAAGCAAACAATAAAGCCCACAAGGCAATGCTGGTAAGTCCACATCAAACTGGAAGATGTCTATAAATTTTTTACTAGTAGATAGACCAATAGGTAAAACATAATTAATTTCTTAAAAATTTGACTGTGGAGGCTGAGGCAGGAGGATCCTTTGAACCCAGAAGTCTGAGATGATAGTAAGATTTCATTTAAAAAAAAACCAAATGTAGGCCATTCGTGGACCAGGGTTAGAGGGAAAAAGGCCACACCAGGAAGCCAGCCCCGTCCAGGAACCAGCATCTTGGGCGGGCCACTGCCAGATTGGAACAGTCAGATCCCAGCCCCTTCTGGTGCCCAGGCTGGCAAACAAGAAGTAACATCCTCCTCACGGTCTACCTTCTGCCGTAAGTGACCGGCTTATCCGGAGAAACACAGGCTGTGATGATGGCGATTGAAGTGAGATGCAGGTGGATGCCTGTGGTGCTGTGGTGTTTCACTAACACTGCAGGTCTAGGGCCATCGTCGGATCATAGGCTCAGAGGAAGCAGTACAGTGTGGCATCCAGGGGGAACCTCCTTCTGAGGGTTACAGCTATTGTCGATTCCCTGTGGTCTTGTTTTGGAAGTTCTGTATCATTCCATTGCTTTATTGGGTTGGGTTTTATTCTGTTTTGTTTCGGTTGATTATGTCAAATCCAATGGTAGGAGCAGCTATTTCAAAGATAGCAAGAAATATTATGGTAGCAACTTTGGATTTACTATTGGCTTGTTTTGAAGTCCTTTATTACATTCATTGGTTTTATTGTTTTTATTCTATCCTGTTCTGTTTGATTTTTACTATGTCTGAAGTTATCTGTAGCTATTTTGAAGACTTCAAAAGGCATTATGGCAACTATTGTTGATTTTGTAGTGTTTTGAAGTCCTGTATCTCTTACACTAATTTGTTTTCATTGGTTTTATCATCTTTAGAATAAAATAAAAAATTAAAAAACCAAGTGTACTTTTGCTTTCCAAGTGTACTTCTATTAGAAGTCAATTTTAAAAGTTTGTTTTAAAACATACTGTTAGGAATTTAAAGCCATATATCTATGGGTCAAAAAATAAGAAATCTAAAAATACCTAGATCTGAATAACAAGTACTGTAAATTAAATTTTATAAGATGTAGCTAAAGCAGTGTTTAAAGGCAAATGTATAGCCTTAAAAAGACCATACAAAATAATTGAATTCCTAATAAGAACAGAAGAAAAATATAATACAAAGAGAAGATAAAACAATGTGGTGAGAAAAAAAGGAAAGAATAAGAGCAAAAGCAGTAAGAGAGAAAAAAATATAATGAAGTGGCTCAAATAATCTGTCAGCTCTTTCTAAAAACTAATAAAACTGGCCAATGTTTGGTAAGACTTATCAAGAGAAACATATAAATAGCAAAATTGGGAGCTGGGCCTGGTGGCACATGCCTGTGATCTCAGCAGTTAGCAGGCTGAGACAGGAGGATTTCTGTGAGGTTGGAGCCAGGCTGAGTTACAAAATGAGTTCAAGGCCAGCCTGAACTGCACAGTGAAACCCCGTGTCAAACACGCACGTGCGCACACACACACATGCACGCACGCATACACGCACACACACACAAATTGGTAGTGAAAATCAGTGCTAACGAAGACAGGCAGTTAGCATAACAGCTCAAAGTATTCCAGAGCCACAACACCTACTTGAACGGCAGCAGCCCCACAGCTACTGTGCTGGTCTTAAAACTGCCGGGCTCTTCCTTGCCTCAGTTTCCTTACATAGCAAACGGACACAACAACAATGTGCCCACCTTCCAACGCTGTAAGGGTTAAATGAATCACTGCTTAGAAAGTGTTCATGACATTGTCCAGCATCTGACACATACTACACAAGTACTTGTTAAGAAAAATAAACAACAGGGAACCTAGTTACAGATGGAACAGAGATTAAAGGGATAATACATAAAAGAACATTTGAAGCAAATTAGTATTGCTCAAAAACTTAGAAATGGAACCAAATAGAAATAAGAGATATACAGCCATTACAGCTGTACAACCATTACAGAAATTGAATCAGCCCCAGCATGGTAGCACATGCCAGTGGTCTGGCTAGTCAGAAGGCTGAGGCAGGAGGACTTCTTGGCTCAGGTTCAAGGTCAGCTTGGGCAACACAGTGAGACCAGAGAGAGAAAGAGAGACTGAGACTCAGAGTCAGAGAGAGAGGAGGGAGGAGAAGAGAAGAGGAAAGGAGGGGAGGGCAAGGCAGGGGAGGGGAGGGGAGGGGAGGGGAGGGGAGGGGAGGGAAGGGCAGGGGAAAGAAAGGAAAGGAAAGGGAAGAGAACAGAGAAGGAAAGAGAAAAAAACTAAAGGGACTGAACTGCAAACATTACACACACACACACACACACACACACACACACACACACACACACCAGGTTAAAACACAGGTTTTGAGTGAACCTTACAAACTTTTCAAGATTCAGATAGGTTTAATTTTCACAAATACTAGGAGAGACAAAAAGTTGAAATACGTTCAGCTCATATCATGGGGCTGGTTACAAACGTGACACTACAACAATGATGATCCAAGAGCGGGAAAGGACAGGTTGGCCCTGGATGAAACATCCTAAACAAAGTCTTCAACAAACCCAGCAATACACAAGGACTGAACATGAGACAATCTATTCATGTAATGTAACAGACGACTGGGTTTAAAAAGTAAATCCACACAATCTAAATAGATTCAGGGTGAACACTGGAGATAACTTAACATTGCCTGATGGGAAGAAACCCTTTCATAACCTTCTAAAAGCTATCTACAAAACCCACAGGAAATATTATTTTCAACTGGTGAAACCATAAAAATATCAGTAATTCCCCTGAAGTCAGGAGACAGGTGAGCAGACCCTTTCCGATCCTGTAGGACTCCAAGCAAAGTGACAGAGCCAGAAAACGAGGTGGGGGTGGGGTAAGATGGACGGTAACTGGGGATTGCAATAAAGTTCATTTGCACACAACTTGCATAGAAAACCAAGAGAATCTATCAACTCTTTAGACGAAACATTCAAGACTCTTGGGTACAAGATTAATAAGAAAATATTAACACTATGAAAACATACCAGCAACAATCTATGAGTAAATAACTTCTTAAAAGATTGCCTACATAAGGCCTAGAAGAACCTAGGAACAGATGCAGAAAAATGTGCAAAGTCTTTACAGAGAAAATTACACACAGCGTTGAGGGACATGAAGATGCTGTAGACAGGTGTGGTAAGAAGACTCAGTATCATTTCTTCCCATTCCAACCCCAGTTCCTATCATGGACTTAGCTGATTCTCTAATTCGTAAGGAAAAGAAGAGAACAAAGGTCCAGATTTTAATGGACATAAAAGTGAGGGGTTCATCTTATAGCAAGATTGGGATTAAATCTATCATAGTTAAAAAAAAAAAGTGATACAGGTCTAAAAACAAACCAAACAGAATGCCTGAAAACCGGCCAACAAGCATTTAGAGATGCAGTATGACTGACAGTCTCTGGCAAAAGGACAGCATATTTAAAAACGATGTTGGGATAACTGACTATCCACATGGTGAAAAAAAATTAGGTTTGGTCCTTACAGGTCACCATTCGCAAAAATAAATTCACTCTGTTAATAAATTTTACAGGGATTCTAAACGGGAAGGAGTCAAGATCAGCGACACAGCTCAGGAAAGTGTGGTGTTAAAACATTAAGTCTGGACCTGCACCCTCACACTGGGGTGAATTACCCATGCAGTCTGCAGGAAATTTTGTACAGTATTCATTTAAATAATTACAGTATAATAGTCCCAAAAAGGCCCAAGGGCCAGGCATGGAGCATTCCAATGCTCTGGTAGGCTGAGGCAGGCACACTGCAAATCCCAGCCCAGTCTAGGCAACTTAGCGAGTGGGTGAGATCCTGTCTCAAAATTAAAATTAGAAAAGAAAAAGAAAAAAGAGAAAAGAAAACAGGCTCAGGCCCAGGGGCTTAGAGAAGAGGAATCACAATGCAAAAATACTAAGAAGGAGCCAGGGGGAAATACTAGGCCTAAATTAAACATATCTCTGAAACTTAACATCATCTTGCTTTGAGGCAACCTGGACTCAAATGCTCACCCCAGGGAACCTGTGAGCTGACATTCAAAAACTGCCAAAATAGAATAACTTTTGATTAGGAACTGGGTCAGATCAAACATCTAATCAATGAATCTCTTTTTGAATTAAAACTCTTAAGCATTGTTTCCAAGTATTTCAGAAAGCTCAGCACATCCCATGGGGTACAGTCCTTTATTTCCAGTGAACTGAGAAGATTTAAAGAAACAAAAGTATTAGTATAGATCATAACTGACCGAAGAACTAAAGCCACTTACAGTCACTGAGTTTAGAGCATTCCCATCACATGGGGTGTGGACTCCATTTACATCACGCATTTTAAACTTGAGTCACTAGATCTGTCTTTTCTGACAGGTGAAGCAAAAGCAAAAAAAAAAAAAAATCTGTCCCAGTCACACAGACAGACAGACACACACACACACACACACACACACACACACACACACGGACTTTAGCATTTCTGCAAGGCTTCTTCACTGCTTTAGTCCACGTACCTGAGTATTCGGACAATGTTGGTACACGCGTCCTTGTCATCCATATACAGTTCCATCACCAAGCAGAGCTGGGGAAGGGTCCTGGCACCCAGGCACTGACTCCTGGCTTGTGGTGAATTGACCAAGTTTCTCAAGGTAGCAGTTATCTGGGATAAAAGCACATTTATGGCATCTTTAAAAACTGGAAAATACAGCTACCCTATGCAGCGCACCACAGTTCGCCCCATAAATTTCGTTACAGCTGCTGGTAAACTAAGTCCCTTGATCCTTGCACTAGAGGACAAGGGCCTAGGCACACGTAGCATGAAATGAAAACACGGAAGACCACCGGGCGTGGTGGCTCACGCCTGTAATCCCAGCACTCGGGAGGCTGAGGCAGGAGGATTGTTGTGAGTTCGAGACCAGCCTGGGCTACAAAGTGAGCTCAAGGCCAGCCTGAACTGCATAGTGAGACCTTGTCTCAAAAAGACAAAAAAAAAAAAAAAGAAAAGAAAAAAGAAAACAAATGCTGACTTGGGTCAAGGGTGAAGAATGGAATAGTAATAGGCATTCAGTACATCAGAACTCAGTACTGTAAATCCAGTAATGAATACTGTAATCCAAGCATTGTAATCCCTTTGCTAATCTTCTTGCAATTCAGAGTTATAGTTGTAATCCCAGTCACATTATTGGAATCCTGGCAAGTTAATTCCAACCTACCACCTCCAATGCAACCCACAGTGAGATCAAGGACACCAAGACATATTCCAAGTTAAGGGCAGCCAAGGAGACCTAAACCCAATCCAAGTGAGGATGTGTGATCCTAGGCCTCTCCCAAGAAGGGGGCAGCTCAGGATGAGTGGCAGTGAGGATGGCGAGTAACCTGAGCTGGCTGGCCAGGTGGGGAGAAAGCATCTCTGCAAAAGGCAGGGAGAATGACCTGCAGAAGGACCAGTCTGCATAATCCAGTTAGGGTAGCATTTGAATTGTTTTTGGAGGCTGTTGCTTCAGTTTCTGATATGGCAACTTTTATGCCCTGAGGAGTCACAGCCTCTTTATTTTGAGGTGGCACCCGGTTGACATTCCTGGAGCTGACTGGCTCTGCCACCCCACTGTGCTCAGATCTTTTACAGAGAGCACTGCAGAGGAAACAGGAGACTGTCAGCCGGGCCCCAAAGCTCACGTATCAGTACCTCTGCTGGCCTTATTTGCAGTGCTTAAGGCCAGCTGAAGAGAGAAGGGACCAGCACAGCCTGCTCTGTACATATCAATATGTGGAAATGTGACTCATGTTGCAGCACATGCTCTGTGTTCAAGGGGAGCCGCTCAGATTGTCTCCCACACTCAGGATTAAACAAATCATCACCAGGGGTTGACAGCAGCCGTAAGGTCTTGATAACCACATCAATTCTATAGATATGAAACTTTACTGTTCTGATAAGTATCATGAGGTAATGATGTGGCCAAAGATTATTCAAGGCTCTAGACTTATTCTCTTCTCAGAGACAAGCTTTCCCCTTACCATGGATCTAAAGCAGTCTTTGAAACTAAAGAACAGGCCTTCTGTGAAAACTAATAAACCATTCTAGGAATTCCAGGCCATCAGTACCATAAAACGGAAAATTTACATCATCTGACCTGGCTCTGCCTGTTCTTCTGAGACAGTCCAGGCACTCGGGCATTACTAGTTTACCTTGATCCAAAGGATGACACACACTTTCCTCAATGGAGACCAAGGCACAGTAATGCCCCCAGTGAGTCCTGACCTCAACCCAGGTGGGTGGAAGCATGGCGACCATGGAGCACCCATTCTGACCCTGCGCACACAAACAGGTTTTTCCTGTTTCCAAGGGCTTCAAAGATTGGGCTCTCCACCCAACTTCCTGCTCCCCTCATCTGGCATCCAGCAAGGGACACTGTCTGCAGAAGGGACCACTGTTTTCCTATGGGCTTTTATTTGTTTCTTTTCCTCATCTTCTTTGCAAAGGTTATGACAGCTGGAGCGTCCTCTGTCCTGGATACACTAGTTTTATAAGTGGCTCAAATCAGGAGCAGAAGCTCACATTAATATGCTGTGCATCACCTGATTTAAATCCCCATCCAGTCACTGCACATCGCATGCTGTACGGAGCGCGTGGTCCTTGGTGAGGAACACACGATGCTTGGAACAGTCCCAGACTTAGCAGTTGTGGTGCTGCTAGGAAACCCCACACAGAGCTTATACCGCACATTGGAAGGGGAGCTGGTGATACTTCAATCTACGACGCCACCGTTAATCGCTCAATTCTCAAAGTCCTGGAATCCTGTCTTTCTGCTTCCTGTCACCTGAAACCCTGCTGGCTATTTGTCCATTGCTCCCAGCATCAGATTCAGGGTCCAGACTGCAGGCCAGAAGGGCTCGTGTGGTCTGGCTCTTACCCAGCCCTTAGGCTTCCTGTCAGCTCCACAGCCACACCATTCAACGGCCGTCTTTCTGCTCCTTGATAAACTTCAGTGAGGCACGAGCCTGGTGGCTGCTGTCCACTTTGTCTTTTCACTACTGTGCCCCCCCCCAGGTCCAAGACCAGTGCCTGGCACACACATCTCTGAAGGGAACAGTGACATGAACAGAAAAGTGAGGCCCTCAGTACATGGTGAGTTACGCAGACAGTATCTCAGAGACTGTAAGAGCATTCCAGGAGCAGAGTATTTTTAAAGAGCACCGTGTGGAAGAAACTGGACTTCCTGGAAGAAGGTGGCTCTCTGGGTGCTTGTTCCCCACTTTGTCTCATTGGAGACAGCCGCACCCCTCCCTCCCCAGCTCACAAGGGCGCCTGCTCCTGTTTCCATCTCCCACCCAAACTCTGGTGCCCTGAGCAGGCTCCTTCCCCAGTCTGCAGGTCCAGCTCCGCTCCCCACAGGTCTCCTTGGTGCTGGCAGGGCCATCCCAAGAGCCAGCCTTCCCTGTCCGAGGCTCTCTTGCGAGGAGGTCCCAGGCCCAGGGGCACCAGCTGCACCCTAAAGGCTGGTCACTCTCAGAGACACGTCCTACCTTCGCGCTCACTCTGGCCTGCTCCCCTTGGCCCACCCTTCCTTCCTGAGACTCTACAACACAGGACGTCCTCGGGCTTTCACAGTCCCACACCTCTGAGTGGACAGCTTTCCTCCACTCCTCGGGAGCCTTCTGCCTCTCCTTACTGTGACCCTTGCTTAGTCCCAAGGACCTGTCATGCTCAGGCCTTCTCTTCCCCTGCTGCACCCACCCACCCTTCACAGCCACCAGGGTTCCAGGCACCCTCCTCCCACGCTGGGTTTCTCTAGCGCCCAGCTCTTTGTTCTACACAGTGGGCAATAAAGTGTGCAAATAAAAAGCTCTTAAGATGCTCAGCCGCCTGCAGGCTGCATGGATGACACCCAGAAGGGAGAGCCAAGGGCACAAAGGAAAGGAGGAGGACGGAGGAGGGAGGTCTCCCCCTTAACAAGCCTCTGGGAGAACTTCAGGGATTAGCAGAGGCCTGGGTGGGCAGAGCACCAAGCCCCGAGGAAGAAGTGTCTGGAAGAGGCCCTCACTTTGAGGGCTGCCACCAATTCCTGTGGGCACCTGCTCTCACTGCCAGGTGGGGTGGTGTGCTGTTTGCTCAGAGCAGTGGCTTTTTCTGGGGAACAAAAATGTAGCCAAATGGAGGGGGAGGAGGATCCAGCTACATAGTGTGGTCACAGTGAGGACAAGTTCCAGGTCACCCGCTTAACGCTGAACCTTGCTTCAAATGTTAAACCCATTATACAGAAGTGAAAATTGAAATCCGAACACGAACTCCTGGCTGAATACAGACACATCTGAGGAGATCACTATTGCATCCTGCAGCTGCAGTCTTTACAGACCTTGCCTCCCCAGGAGAGCCACCCCTAGGGCCCGCTCTCAAGGCAAGAGTTGGCAAAGTCCAAGCTTAGGGAACAAATATTTAGTTTCTTAACTTTCCACTCTGATTTACAGGGTTCCTAATTCTACTTAGATGCACTTTTTTATTGCACATAATCTTTTAAGCAACTTCAAATCCTTTACTTAAGAAAAGCATAAGTTAAAGGAACACACAGATCCTTGTTTAGCTTGTTCACTGGAGCCGTTTCCAATCTCAGGGGTGTCATTTTGCCGAGAAACAGCAAACTGAAAAATGTGAGCTCTGATGCTTGTTCATTCCCATCTTCTAACCTGCAGCTGTGAGGGAGACTCAGACAAAGGCAGTCAGTGGGAGGTGGACAAGCAGTAAGGGGGCTCATCAAAATGTAATTGTCCCTGCGTATCAGCAGATGCTCGGGACAAGCTACAAAATAAAAAGGACACACATTTTTTAGTGGTATAGTCAAGGAAAAGTCATTCCATTATGATGCTGGTTACTGACTTGCTGAAACCAGACTCAGTTCTTAGGCAGTCATGTCTTTGTTTTCCAGGTTCCTGACAGTAAGAGGCGCTTCCTCAATCAGCCTCGCTTCCCTGTGCTTTGGTAGACCTGCCTGCCTCATACTGAATTAGTGGAGCTTTGAAGTTCTCGCTGTGGAGTCAAAATGGGGAGGCCCATTTTATTTATTGTTTGCTTGCTTGTCTTTGAGATATGACTTCATTGTGTTGATCAGGCTGGCCTCAAATTCTTGATTCCCCTGTCTCGGCCTCCTAATGCTGGGATGAGAGGTGTACACCACCCTGCCCAGTGGGAGACCCATTTGGAAGGGAAAAATTATTCTAAGATGAGATCATATAATTTGTAAAGGTTCAAATGCCATTTTAATATAGTAAAATTAGAACCCAAAAGAGTCAGCATCTTTTTTTCCAAATCGAGTATTGGTACTTAATCATGAATTTCAAATTGTGTTTTCAACTGTGAATTAATTGAAAAACATTAGTAAATACAAGAAAAATGTATCTTAAAATCCGTGTACCCTGACTGGGGTCTTAACACAGGCCTGGCAGCTGTGGTGTTATTCCTAACATCTGCTGCTGTGGGCGGGTGCCAGACAGACACAGTCACTGTGTGGACCTGAGTCTCCACATACTGCCAGAGTGGCTGCCCCTCCCTTCCTTTGAACCCTTTCTCGCTCCAAGACTCAGTCCCCAGGGGACCTGCCGGATTGTGCCCCAGACCCCCAGCCAGCAGAGCCATGCCAGATCATAGTGGCTTGTAGTTTACCATGG